CAAAGGTGCTGAAACTTTTATTCGATTCTACAATGCCATTAAGACAAGGGCGGAGAGAGTACTCAAATTGACCGTAACCCAGCGCAAAACAGAAGAAAATCACAGTGAACGGATGGGGGTGACAAGTCGCCAAATAAATAGAAAAGGCTTAAATTATGTTTAAAAACAAAAACCAGTCGGCGAAACGATGAGTAGAAGTGGGGGGACAAACGGCACTTGAATGCATAGATACACAAAAAGAGATATGGGAGGGCAGGAAAACTTTTTCATTAATTGTCGAAGATCACGAGGGCTTTTGTGGCTTCTTAGGCGGCCGGCGCGCGGGCTCCACGCTTGCGCTCCCGTTGGGCCGAGTTGATCTGGAAAACAAGTGTAAAAAATGGCAAAAATCGCAAACTAAAGACTATTCCACTCTAAACGACAGACCTTGTCCCCGAGCGTGAGGGCCATTCCTTGGCTCTTCGCCCGGATGCGAATGTGGCCAACGATCGGGCTCTCCTCCTCGAGCGGGTTCGCCTTCTCGATGCACACGTTGGCCAGGGCGTCTTCACCGAATATCGAGTGCGCGCAGAAGTTGGCCGCCAGGAAGCCGCATTCGCCAGCTAGAAAGAATGAGTGAAAATTATGGTTAAAATTTGGACCTAATGCCGCATCGGCCGTCAAGCAGCGCATGTTGGTGATGGCCGAGATGTGGGCGAGGAATTCGCGGAGGTCGGTGATGGGCGTGTTGACGGTGACCTTGTTCTCCCACTCGAAATCGTTCCACATCTGCCGGAATTCGGTGTCCGTGACCGAGCCGGGCACGATGTAGTCCTAAATTTAGAAAGTTTTAACCGTAATTCTTTTACTGACCATAATGTCAATCTTGATGTCCTGCAGATAGACGCAGTTACGGTCAGATTGTGACCCGCGCACGTCGTAGGAGATCACCGAGAAGATGACGCCGTTCTCAGCCGAGGCCACCTTGATCGTTGCCTAAACGAAACAATTTTTCTAAACTTCGGAAAATGGTTCACCTTGATGTTGGTGAAATCGTGCGGGCCCAGCGTGCATGGCGTCGGCTTCTCGACGAGCTTCAGATCGCCCATCGTCGACAGCTCGAGCGAGCAGTTCTGCAGAGTATCGGCCGTCTGGTTGACGATCAGCACGTCGAGCACTAAAAAAAAGGCATGAACGGATGAAGCGAAAGAATCATGCAAAGGATATAAACTTACCGATATCGTACTGGTTGACATTGACGTAGGCCTCGGCGTATACTGGATCCGAGAATCCGGCGAGCTGGATGACCTTGCCGAGCTTCGAGGAAGAGAAGTCGAACTTTGAAGTCTTCTGGGCGGTGCCAAGCGCCTAAAAGTAAAGGTTTTATATTTTTAGTAAAAAAACCAACCTGGGAGAGGCTGAGGTCGAAGAGATTGTCGCCGGTCACTTGGTCAGCGCGAGCCGAGAGTTGCGTGAAGACAATGGTCTTGTCGACCTCGACTTGGTTCTTCTTCTTGATCTGCTCGTCCTGCTTCACCTCGTGCTTGTTCGACAGCATAATCTAAGCAAGGGTAAGTTGTTGAAAACAAATGCAAACCTCAAGGCTTTCGCGGCATTTGTCCAAGAAGATCTCTTCGGCGCCCGGGCAGCCCTCGGCCAGCACCTTGATAGTGGTGCACATACTAAATGACACATTTCTGAAATGTCAAACACAAAAATACCGATCGAGATCGTCCTCCGTGATGTTGTTCTTTGAGAGACCGCTCTTGCCCAGGTTGACGATCGACGACAGGATGAACATGACGTCAGCCTTGAAGGCGTTCACGCGTGGCGAGTTTCCTGAAATACATGAAGCTACAAATGATATGGTAAAAATCTAACCTTGGTTCAGCTTTGCATAACGTTCGGCCAGTTTACTGAGAATCGTCGAAAGGGTGGCGCCGAGGAAGAATTCGCCGTCGAGCAAGAATCGGCGCAGCGGAGGGCGGTGATCCTCGCCGGTGCGAACCGCAGTCGACATGGCGGCCGATTGGGTCGCGTAGGTGCCATCGGCGGTCACTAGCTGCTTCTGGGGCTAGAAAGAACGACAACGTAGAGAATCCACCAAGTTTTATACCTTGCTGCCGGCTTTAGCATCATCCTTCACCTCCTCCGTTCCCTCGATTAGGCGCAGCTCCGAGTCGACGATCGGCAGCTCTCCAATGGCCTCTTTGACAAGGCGCCTCACTTCGGCGATCGTCTCGTTCGTTTCGCAGTACGAGCCGAGGATCCAGAGGGCCGACATGAAAATCTTCGGCTTTCGGATCGAGAGTAGACCCTCCTAAAAAGTGGTAGATATAAAAAAAAACGTTATTATCATACCTGTAGCGATTGCAGAATGACGGGCTTCAGATGGGGCAGCTTGTGGACGGCCTCGCGCACGAATTCGACAACGCTGACGGCGGCCAGTTCGCTGTCGTCGGAGAGGAATTCCATGAGCACGGGCACGATCTGGGGGGCCACGTCCGGAAACTTGATGGTGGCCGTGTGCAGGGTGCGGACGAGTTCTTGGCGATAGCGGGCGCCCTCGTCGGCCGACTCGTTCGAGCTCTTGCTGATCTCCTAAAATAAAAAAGAAATCAGCGATGTTAAGAAAAGGGCTTGAGCAAAATAAGAGCCAAATAAACACACTTTCTTCAAGAACATGACCATATCCTCGACGTTCCGGCTGGAGATGAGGTCCAGGGCCAAGGCGAGCGTCTTCTTGCGAACCTCGAGCCCCGGGGAAGCGAGGACGCGCAGGATGTCCATCACCAGCTCTTGCAGCACACGTTCGCCGGCCGAGTTGGTGCGCAGCTCCATCAGGCGGTCGAGCACGATCAGCTGAAAAGACATGGGTGATGCCGAATCAAAGAAATATCACCTTGACGTTGTTGTCGCTCTCCTTCACGATCAGTTCAATGTACGTAGAAGCTGCGGCCTTGATGGCGGCCGGGGCAGGTGAGAGGGTGATCAGCGTGCCAGCGGCTTCATATCGAACGGCGGCCGACTGCGATTGAAGCAAGTTGTAGACGCAACGGATGAAGCGGGAGCGCTCGGCTGGGTTGGTGTGGCACACTTTGTAGATCAACTCGACGATGATCAGCTGCAGGATGTCGCCGAATTGGGTGACCTAAAGAGAATGGATTTTATTTTGAGGAAAAATTTACCTGATCGATGCAACCGGAGAGGAAGTCGAGGGCTCGCGTTTGGTCGACGTGCAGCAGCATCATGAAGGCGTTGCGCTGGAAATGAAAATACAAAAGAACAATCCAGAAAGCGTACCTTGCATGACGCGTCTTGCTCTCCCTCCAAGAAATTTGAGACGAGCTCTGGCGCATCCGGGATGAGGAATTCGAAGTTGCGGAAGATGGTGAAGATTGCGCAGACGGCGTTCCGGCGCACGTAGGAGTGGCGGTGCTCCAGGCAGGTGCGGATGGCGGGCATCAGCGGCTCGAGCAACTCCGGTTCCTTCAGCTTGCACAGGAATCTGAAAAGTTAAATTATGATCAGTCGCTCAAGCCAACCTCAACGTCGACCCGCGGACAAATTCGTTCGGGTGCTGCAAATCTTTCCTGTACGCATCGCAGACGAGGATCATCTCGTGGAGCAGCTTGCCTTGTGGGTTCGTCTATAAAATCACAAAATTAAAGCCAGAAGCTTAATTCTATACCTTTGGGACAATCTCCCAAAAGATGAGCAGCAACTTCTTGAGCGTGTGGTCGTTGGAGGGCAGGCAGAAGCGGATGACGTACATCAGCATGCCGGGGCTCGTCTTCTCGCCCGTCTGGATCATGTAGATCAGCTTCTTGAGGGCATCGGCACGGCCTTTGTCGTCTCCTAAAGACACATTCAAGGAAGGCACTAGAAGTCGTTACCTTTTTCGAACTTCTCCTTCAGCTGCGCCTCGCTGGGCAGTTCCCAGTCGTTGGGCACATGCAGCAGCGTGTAGCAGGGCAACTCGCTGGAGGACATGTCCTGAAAGCAGAGAAATTTGCGAGGAAATCAAAGTTAAATGGAAAGCCGAGAACAAGGTCGCAGAGTGAACAATCGAAAAAGAGAGGATTGGAATAACAATCTCTTTCTTGGAAAAGAATGATAATGACATTCAGACCAAGTTTTTCGTCGTTTTGGACGTGGTTTTTCGCTTACAAGCTCCTTCCAGCTGCCCGCTGAATGTAAGGGAACCGACGTGTTTCCACCCAGTTGGGTGCTTGGGGGAAGGGAGCGCGTGGCAGGACCAATGGGCGAGAGGGATTGGGCGAGCGAGGAGGGCGCAGATGCTTTTGGATTCTTTCAGGGCTAGACCGATTTATTATAGCCAAACTTATTAGAAAAAAGGGTATTTGGTACTATTCAAGTTAGGGGGGGGCAAATTTTTTTCGAGGTGATTTTTGGGCTACTTGTTAAGTTTTTCGCGGCCTATCAAGCACATTGCTCTACTTCTAAGCTAAGCTAAGCCGAAGCTCAGCTAAATCGAGCTTGAACAGAGCTAAACAGAAGCTAAAAACAGCGAAGCTAAGAAAAACTAAGCTAAGGCGAGAGTACTTCGCCCCGCCCAGAAGCTAAGCCTAGGCTTAGGCTAAGCTAAGCCTGAGCCTAAACTAAGCCTGTACTATACTAAGCTATGCCTAAGCGAAAAGAAAAACCAAGAAGAATGGCTGCAAATGACCCAAAAAAATTTTGCCCCCCCCCGAACTTGAATAGTACCGGGTATTTTAATTCGTGAAATTCCTCATCAAAAAACTAGAACTTTCTAAAATGTTCGAAAATGAAATTTTCCAAAAATTGAGTTCAAAAACCAAATTGAAAAATCCGGCAACGCTGGCATTACAGACGTTCCCGGAATTTGTAGCATCGCGGTGATTTAAGTTTTAAAAATTCCAAAAAGCGTTTTTTTTCCTAAACTTTTTTGACATCTTTGAGGGTTTATTTTGCTCTTTCCGGCTTCATCTTTATGATGCAATCGCAACTTTATCCACGTTTTTCAGTTAGAAGCAGCAATGTTCCGCATGCAGCAAGGACCCCCGGCCCCGCCGCCAATCAACACCCGTTTCGCCATCCTCAACTCCATCTACAACGACCCGTTTAATTGGTGAGTTTTTCTTTTAGAAAATGAATGTTCCATTTTTCAGGTCCGCCTTCAAGGGCGTCATCGGATTCGGCGTCGGCGTGTACATCGCGCGACAAGTCAGCCAAGAATGGACGACCCTAGTCTGAAGAACCTTTCCAATTTGTAGTCTAGTTATTGCGTCAGATCTCTTTGTTTTTCGTTAATAAATATTTGTACAAAATATTAGTCTGTGGTGCTCCAGAAGTTGTTTTCGAGCACATGAATACTTTGATGTTTGGTAATTCGGCGCGATTTCCTAATACATATTTTAGATGTCCGGCCCACCAACGCTAAGTGCCGGCGTGGCGATGGAGGAGCTGTTTGCGGATCCGTTTCGCAAAAAGAAGGAGCGCAGCGCGCGGGTCGAGGAGGCGTTGAAGGTAGAGTCAAGGCTAAAAACCAATACTTTTGTTCTAGAATTTTGAGTACAAGCCGTCCGCGTACTGCACGATGATCGATCAGATGATTGGATCAAAAACGCGCCCCTGGGACACTGAAAGAATCCCGATTCGACCAAAACAGGTTAGTTTTTATCGACGTGCGTTTTGAAAATCGTTTTAGATGCTCACCCTGCCCGAGATGACGAAAGAAGAAAAGTTTATGTCAAGGCTGATGGAGAACTGCGCGGTGAAGGCCGGCATCTCTGGTTTGTTTTTGCAAAATTAGTGATAACCCGTTGAATGGTAGGTGTCCTCGGTTACGGAGTGGGTATCGCCTTTGGACTCTTCACCGCCTCCGTTGATCCACAACTCTCCATGGTCGGCGGCGATCCGACAAAACAGGTGCGACGGCTGACAATTTAGTTATTTAGTGGTTTTAGTTGAGCCTCAAAGAAACGTGGAGAGAGATGAGTTCGCGGATGAAGTCGTACGGAAAGAACTTTGGATCTATTGGTCTACTGTTCGCAGGTTTGGCTTCGTGTTTGATATTTATATTCCTGTTTAGGTACGGAATGCATACTGGAGACGGCACGAGCGAAAACAGATTGGCGGAATGGGACGTACGCGGGCGGGGTTGTCGGCGCGTTACTCGGCTACCGGGCAGGTATGACAGAATTGTTGGTTTTGAACTTCTTGTTTTTAGGCATAAAACCCGCGCTTTTCGGCGCCGCCGGATTTGCCGCCTTCAGCACTGTCATCGACTACTGGATGGGCCGACATTGATCTGAACCTTTCTGCTCTTTTATTCGTTTGTGATTCTCTCGCGTTCGATATTTTTTTTGTAAGTGCGACGGGTATGTCTAGGATCTAGTTAGTGTGTCTGTTTTTTTGTTGCATAAAATTCTACGATTTATGCTGTAGTAAATTATTGAATCAATAACAAATTGTGTTTGGTGTCTGTGTCGGAAGGTCCACTTGCCCAACTGTCGTAGTACCCGAGCGGAGGCGATTTTTAGAATAATCGAAGTGGTTCAATGAGTTTATTATACATAATCAAGCAGGAAAGCGGATGAGCATATGTACAGCAAAAGCTTTCTGATTATTGTTGTCGCTTTTGAATCACAGAAGTCGCAGCGGGATCCACCGGGGGTTCACGGTTTTGTTGGCTAGCAAGTCCTTCCACATGCGGTCGTTGCGATCGCCGGCGCCGAAGAGTACCTGGAAATTTTTCGAATGTTCGGTAGCTCTAGCTTCTTGTTTTTTCCTGAAGAATCGCTGCTATCTTGCCCAATTCCGCTATCCGTATTTTCTTGCTCCTCCCGTTCTTTCACTTTATTGAGGAGGGTGGGGCACTATATTTTTTTAGGAATCCATTTCCAAATATAAATAGCGGAAGTGTCTTCCGTTTTTTCCGTTTTTCGTTTTTTGAATCCCTAAACATAAAAACTTCACAAAATTTTATTGAAAAAAATTAAAAAGAGGTAACTTTTCGACCAAAAATGGTGATTTTTGACCAAAATTTTGACTTTTTGAAAATTTGTCAAAGTTTGGCCCGTCCATTCCTAAATCTCGAAAATCTCCCCCTACCTGCCCGATCAATTTATGGTTGCCGATCCGGTCGTGGTCGAGGATGTGGATCTCGAGCTGCGAGCTGAAATTTTGGATTCATTTTTATCTTTCGATTTTGGGCCTACTTTGCCAGCTGCGCCATCGTGCACGTAAAGTTCAGCGCCTCGTTCCAAATCGGGTTTCCGCTGTTCTTCCGGACGCCGCTTTTCCGCTTCTTGACCATCTTGCCGTCCTGCAGCAGGTACACCTTGGCGACGGCGTCTAAAAAAATGTTTTGTTCTTGTTTTTTACCTCAATAGGGAGTAACACCAAAAAAAAAATCGGTCTTCCGAACCCACTTGGCAAAGCCTCTTTGCTGGGTAGCCCCTTGGCCTGGTGGATGGTGACTGTAAGCCGCTCGGCCGAGGGCAGGTACTGGATGCCGACGAACAGCTCGCCGAGGTTTTCGCTCTGAAAACGGGGGTTTTTTAGATTCCTGGAGAATCACTCCTAGCCTGCCCTATCCTAAAGAATCTCTGCTAGCCTGCCCTTTCCTAGCGAATACTTTGACGACCACTTACAGCATTGTGCAGCTCAATATCGGACCAGAGGATGACATCATCACTCGGGTCTATCGTGGACAAATCGATTGAGGTGCTGCCGAGGACTGAGGAGGCGGAGCCTGGAAAGGTATGGTACAGCTGAGAGAAAGAGAGAAAGAGAGAGAGAGAGAGAGAGAGAGAGAGAGAGAGCGAGAGAGAGAGCGAGAGAATGAGAGATTTCCTTGCTCACCTATCCGAGTCGCGCCTAACAACTGCAACGTCAGCGACTTGTCCATCAGGTCTTCGTAAGAAACGGGGAATTTGAAGGTTTCCTAAAAACCTTCAGCTTTGAAAGGGAACGTGCCAGGAGGCTGACCTTGTGAAACGGGGCTCCGGCCACGATTCTACTAGATTGTCGACGGAGCGTCGTGTCGGACAAGGCCACGGCGAGGGAGTACTCGTCGAGCTTGATGACGTGGCTGACTGGAATCTGGGTTTTAGAGAACGGTAAGCTAGCCGAGATTTCTTAGGAAATGGTTGGCTAGCAGAGATTCTTTAGGAAAGGGCAGGCTAGCAGAGATTCTTTCTAAAAGGGCATGCTAGCAGGGATGCTTTGAGACTTAGCTGACCGGCTCCTCAGGCAAGCTAGCAGAGACTCCAGGAAGGCTTGGCCCGAAGCCTCCTCAAGGGTTTCTGCTAGCCTGCCCTAGTGGCCGGCCAAAGCTCCCACCTTCCAATAACGTGACGATGAAGTCGCTCTTCGAGAAATCGTACGTCATTTGAACCTAAAAAATAGGGGTGAAAACTGGTTTTTGTGTTTTTTTTTGCCTTACCAGCGCCTTTAAATTTATTTACCTGCACTCTAGCGACAGACGGTTTTCCGGTTGTCTCGTGCCGGACGATGCTGCCCCGTCGGCGGTAGAGATCGGGCTGGATTGCGCCTGGAATTTGGTGATGAGGGGCAGGCTTGCAGAGATTCTTGGGAAATCCAAATTAGGTTTTAAAAGCTTGTTGAAAAGATATCAAAATTTTAGGAGAAGTAGCAAAAATTCATTTTCTCTCTCCCTCTCTCTGTCTCTCGCACTCTCTCCCTCCGGCCACCAGCCAAGATTTTTAGAGATAGTCGAGGAAATTGGCAAGCTAGTATAGAACCTTGAGGAATCCTTGGGCAAGCTGGCAGAGACCATTAGGACCTACCGATTCCATGATCCGAGGAGCGTCTCCTTTCGAGGAATAGTAACGCCGAGTCGGCCATGTCTTGCTCGGAGGGGCGGCGGGTGTCTTTTTGCTGAAAATTAGAAAATTACGATAGTTGGAGAAGTGAAGGTGAGAGAGAGAGAGAGAGAGAGAGAGAGAGAGAGAGAGAGAGTGAAAGAGAGAGAGATAAAAAGACAGAAATCTGGAGAGGTCGAGAGAGAAGAGAGAAAGAGAGATATACAGATTTTCAAGTTTAAGCCGATCCCCCATTAAAGTTGCAAAACTACCAAATCACCGGGTAGTTCTTGGCCTAACCGCGGAAGTGGCAAAAATGACCATTAGCGGGCGGATTCGAAATTTATACGGCCCCAGGTAGGGAAAATTATAGCCCCCGGGTCACACACCCAAACGCACGAATTTTTCTTTTGCTGACAAATGCCAAACGCCGAGACCCCCAAATTTACAGGGGGCCAATCAGAGAAGGAACTTCCCCCCAGGAGGGAAAACAGGAAGTCTTGCTCGTGACTTTACGAATTTATCGGGGAAGCAGGAGGTTACCGGGTCTGGTAAAAATGGTCTCTGCTAGCCTGCCACTTCCATTCCCAAATGATCTCTGCTAGCCTGCCCTTTCCATTCCCAAATGATCTCTGCTAGCCTGCCCTTTCCATTCCCAAATGATCTCTGCTAGCCTGCCCTTTCCATTCCTAAATGATCTCTGCTAGCCTGTCCCTTCCATTCCCAAATGATCTCTGCTAGCCTGCCCTTTCCATTCCCAAATAACTCCTGCTAGACGCCTTCAAAATTTTCCAAAAAGCGCTGCTAGCCAGCCCAGCGCCTACAGTAATCTCAAAACCAAAAGCCAATTTATTTCCTGAGGTTTTCTCACTGTTTATATAGCCGCCGTGCGTAGAAATGTCCCTTATTTATTGGCGACATCTTTAAAACGAGAAAACCCACGCGTCAAGCCCCTAATTAGCATAAATTTTAGGGTGAATTCGACAATGTGGAGACACATTTCTCACGAGCTCATCAGTCCGAGAAATAGGGCGAGGCGCCGAAAAAGGCACCCAATTTTCGCCGGGGTCCAATTTTGTCGTGTGTATGGCCATAAATTTAGGCTGGTCGCGGGGGAGAGACGAGAGAGAAAGAGGGACAGAGAGCGCGAGAGATAGAGAGGGAGATAGAGAGAGAGAAGGAGAGAGAGAGCAGGCTATCTAGCACAGATTCTTGGCTATTTGAAAAGAACCACGACCAAGTTTTTTTGTGAGAATATGACTTCTCTTAGGCTAAGAGATTCCTAAGAAGGGCAGGCTAGCAGAGATCCTTTAGGAAAAGGCGAGCTAGCAGAGATTCTTTGGGATCCCATAGGTTCCTAGTCTCTACAAAAAAAGATTCAGACGCTGGGATTTAGTTGCTGCGGTTCCTTGAGCCTTGAGAAGATGACTGCGGGCAGGAGACAGAGAGAGAGGGAGAGAGAGAGGGAGAGAGAGAGATGGATTGCCTATAGTGGTGCTGATTGGAGCCCCCTCCCCGGCCGGATTGTGCCGGAAGTTTGGCTACGATGGACGTCGTCGTTCACGACGACGTGCGCATCCAAATTGACACCCCCACCAAATTTCACACGCCACACTGCGCCGGGAGGGGAGGCTTCCGTTTTGCTCCTCCTCCCGCGCTTCCGCCGGCAGCCGGTTTGCTGGTTTTTTGGGGCAATTTTGTAGGCGGTTTTCGAGGAAGTGAAGAATGGCTAGCAGAGACGCTTTGGGAACTTTTTTTGAAACATACCATTGAGGAGTTCGGCAGGGAGATGATGGTCTCAGCGGCCTCGAGCACAGAGAATCGTCTCATCGCTGGAACCAGAGAGGTCATCCGATGAAAACTGAACAAGTGCATTGACTGTGATGTAAAAAGCATGAAAAATAAAACGTAGGAAAACGATGAAAAGGCGCAACATGGACATCTCCCAAAATGCTCAAAGAATCTTTGCTAGCCTGCGCTTCCTTCAGTTCTGTTCCGTTAGATCCTCAACAACCCTTGCTAGCTGGCCCCAACTAAAGCATCGTCGCCTCGAAACGATAATGCACCAAAAAGGAAATAATGGCGAAATTGGACGCTGGCTCCCATGAATTTGCCTTTCCCGGCTAGCCTCGATTTTTTAAGGGTATAGAGTGTCCGGGGCGGAACGGCTCACTTTCGCTTGAAAGCGCCTGGAGGCCACATGGTCACACGCCACGTTTCCGGCCGATCCCGATTTTTGAGACATTTTTGGGAGGCTGGAAATTTCGAGAATCGGTGTGGAAGTCGTAAATCTCCGCGCTGGAAGCGGTGGATTACGGTAGTTGGGCTCAAAATAGCAGGGCTGGCTAGCAGAGATTATTTCCGAGGTCTCAGACCAAAGCCTAAGTCTAAGCCTAAGCCTAAGCCAAGCCAAAGCAGAACGTTATGTCGACTCAGTGTCAAATCGTGAAATTTCATCCCCGGGATTACGGTAGAGTT